ACAAGCTAAGCATTTTATTTTAAGCCATGATATTTGATGTGAAAAAGACCTATTTATGCAAATCAGAAAATGAATCACCTTACTAAACTGACACATCTTTAAAGTTACCTTAAAATTTGCAATGGTACGTTTTTGATGATACTCTCAGTATAACCGATATGAAGTACACTAGTTGAAGCTTAATACACTCGCACAATTCCACTAAGCGAGCAAAGAAAAATGAAAGCGCCGAAAATCAATAAACACCGCTTTGGTTAAACTCGTGCTCCAGCCGGTTGCATGCAAGCGCCGTGGAGCGCCTAATCTTGTTTTCAGCATGCTATTCGACGGATGCAAAATCGGCTTCTTCCTCCGCAGTAGGTTCGTAGCAAAGATAGGAATTAATTTTTTTCTCTATTTTCATTACAAATTTGTGGTTTTTGTTTAAAATACAAACTCTTTCCTATGGTGAACATAAAATTGTTCTGTTTATCTTCCTCATGCGGGATTGTGTGACCTGTTGATCCTCTTGCTGCTTATGCAAAATAATCATGAAATATTACCGCGAAATAGATACGCATGCAGCTGCTTGGGTTATGGGTTAATTGAAGGGGCAGACGAGGTCAACTGTGATAGCGAAAGTGCAGCTGCCTGTTGCCATTGCGCCCGATCTCCGAAATTTACTAGGGATTAGCCGATTATAATGAGCGAATTGATGATTTACAGATTGCGTGCTATTTCTCTGCATGGAGAGCTTTAAAACGCATGTCAGATGCAGTATCTACGCCACTATGATAAGCACCAATTAATGATGTTATGTTTTGTTTTGTTAGTTTTCAAAAATTGACCATTTTGGCGCGTATACAATAAAGTATGTGCTAATTCCGCATGCCAGGCAATGAAAATCCAAAATTCTATAAGTTTTCCTCGTTGATTACCAAAAACACTTTTGCAACGATATCCAATAATTGGTAATGTTCTTGCAACTTGCGAGGAGAACAGGTAACAGAATTTTATGTTGTCGGCTGCCATTTGTTTTAAAGGCAGTACTTTGTGTATCATTCGAAGGAGGTTAAAGTGCCATTCTTCACTACAGTATACTTAGGTTCAAAAATATCGTTTTGTTGAACTAGAAGTGACTGAAGATACATCACTAGAAGGCTAAGAACACTCAATCCCCCTTGTGAGAAATCCAATGGTTTCACGCTGCTTAGTGGGGAATGGGGACTGCTGGTTATGAAGATCATGGCCTCCGCAGTTAGGATCACCAAAGACAAGAAAGACAACATTTAGCATTTTTCATAAGAGCGAACACACGTTCAGCTCTTTAACCTTC